ATAGGAAAGAAAGTAAAAATCACCCAATACATTTTGATTTCTTTTTTTTTTTTTTTTGGTGGCCTGTATAGTTTCTAGTTTCTAGCAATAAAATTTCCCAACAGTCATGAGCAAGGTAGGTATTTCTTTAGGCTACCACTCCCAGCCTCCCAGAAGGGAGGCTAGGAGGCTGCCTGGGGAGAGCACAACACGTGCTCCAGGCCAGCACCTCTATCCTCGCTTCATCCACACAGGCCACTCCAGTTAGCATAGGGACACCCGGCCACACAGGAGAGGAGCGATCCCCAAACAAACAGCCCAAGGCCAGAGCAGAGGCCTGGAAGCAGCCTCAAGCACACTCATGTTTACAGACCACAAGCAGAGCCCTGCAGCCCTACAGCATTTTGTTGGGGGTAGTTATGCTTTAACCAACATCACTTCCCAAGACCTTTTTTTTTTCCGAGTAACTACAGAAAATTAAACTATTTCTCCCCCAGCACTTGGCTTTCAACACATCCTTTCAACCCCTTGACTTCCTTGCACATTCTGCTAACAGCCCACACATTGTTCGCGYAGGACCTCGTGGCAGAACACTGTTAATGCACAACGTCAAGTGATCCACCTAGGGGGCTCAGAGGAGACTGGAAGCATACATGGAGGGGGCAATGTGAATTCCAGTCGTGCATGTTTTTTCCACACAATTTCATAAAAGCTTTAGGCCAGCCTAAACATGGAGAATTRCAAATGAGAAGCGATTTGTGTTCACACCCTCAGGCTTCTATAGCAAACAGAAATCACATTGGATTTGTTTAAAAACAAACTGACAAAAACCAAAAAGTAACTCAAAATCAATGAAGAAGTAGCATATCTCAGCAAGTTTTTTTTTTTTTATTATTATTGTTATTCCAGAAGGAATTCATTTAAGAGGTAGTCAGCAGGACATCTGCATTATTATAATGCATGCAGCGCCTACAGATTTGCTTTTTAATTAAAGCAAGAAGCTGTTTGTCACTTGTACAAAGTGAGGAAAAGGCCATTTTTCCTGCCTGTGTTTTTCCTGCTTCGGTACATCAGCTTCCTCCCTGAGCACATAATAGCCACATTTAAGTAAGGCAGGTCAATATATCCTCTTTTATTTTATGTTAAGGTAAATTAGCTCTTCTGTCCCACCACAGTCTAATTTTTCTTTACAGCTATTTAAATCCTATTACAGGTTAACATTAACATTCAGACTGCTTCCTGCACTGATTCTGCTCCATGATAAACTTAATAGTCTTGAGTGACAGACAGCAACTCAAATGTTAAGGGTGTTGGGAGGGCGCTTGGTCCCAACAGCAGTCTACAACATTTATTRCGGTTTAATAACAACATTAATAAAAACGCAAGTCTACTATAAAATGCTTGTGGTGGCAATTATTCTCATTTATTTATTTTGGCTGCAGGCACCACAGAGTAGGCTCTATTCTGCTTACTAAGCACCAACTCTTCTTTTCTGGTCACTCATATCCCACTTCTATACAGGGGAAGGAAAAACTTGGAGGGGGTCGGAGGGGAAGTATAGAAGACAGACACCATAGTGCACCTGGCACTCCCCATATTTCTGTGTTGTTCTATAGTACAGATTCATTCTGCTGCTGTGGCAGCATGCATGAGTACTAGTATTTGATGATATGTATGTAAAATATAACCTCTGAAAAGACATTACCTCACAAGAAAAATYCTTGCACTTATTAATTTTTCAAGATTGGATTAAGCCTGTTTGGGTTAAATAAGAACATCAGTAGTTTTGTAACCCAAACCTGATGCATATGTCACTCTATAGTACCTAAGAGGTTCAGTCAGTGGGTATTTAAAATCTTTCTGCTGGTAGCAAAAGTCACTAGCAAGACTAGCGACTAGTAAACATGATTTATCAAAAGGTTTCTGATTCTAGAAGGCAGTTCTAGAACTGTTCTCTACTGGAGCGCTTTGGAATATCTTCATTATACAGARGCAACACTTAGAATATACTTTTAATGCTTATTTTTATGATTTTTAAACGTTCAATTCCAAATTTGCATGTACACACACACACAACACTTGATACCTGACTGCATGCCTCAAGAAAAATAAACTCAAGAAAAGGAAAAGAAAGGTTTGCTTTTTCTGTATCTATGACAACTGAAAAAAAATGGCTGCCTTCACTTTCTTTCGGCTTTTCCTTTGTAGGTGAGCTCCTTCAATTGGTGCAAATTACAAATGGAATACAGGGGTATCTGGACACAGCCCAGAAGGACCAAGCTGGAGCTGCACAAAAAATCATTTTGTTAGTGGAGGCCAAGGAACTTTAAACAACACTTCAGTGAACACCAGCACGACTGAAAAGTCCTGTTAGCTGGGCTTGATCTACATCCAGGCCTCCCATGGTTTCATGCTTTTGGCCTTAATAACAGCAACAACAAAGTCTTGTTCTGTAAAAACTTGTCACATTTATGATCACGTTTCATTACTAYGCAAGCCCAATGAGCTGTGTAAGCGTTTTTTCACCACATATGCCTGTTACATGTGCACACCCTGTCTCCTTACTCCAGTCTGATGGGATGTTATATATGCATACATAACAGTATTTTGGCTTCGGTAGCTCCCCTATAAGACAGGGCTTCTCGGAAGGAATCTTTGAGGATATTTAAAGATAACAAGATTGAACTTTTTGATGTTGTTTGTTCCTTACTAAAAATACTTTGATAACAATGGTCAGTATAAGTTTTGCATTCATTAAGCTTTATTAAAAGGTGATTTGCTTTTTACACTAGAAAATGACACCTGGTTAGCTCTGTTTCTCTTGGAAGGCTAAATACAACTAGAGGATTACTTGATGGTGACAAGTAGCAAGTGAGCAGAGCTTGATCGTTTGAAATATGGATTTTGTTTTATTATTTCCTAATTTAGAGCGACCCTTTGGAAGTTACATTAGTGCRAGTACAACTGAAGAATATAAATGGTGCTAAGATCATTTTAAGCTTGCTGTGGGTATTCCAGCTCTCAGGTCTACTTGGTACAGGCTAAAAGGCATGGAATAAAAATGAATAAGCTTCAATGCTATAAGAAATTATGGACCCCAAGGTTTGATCTGACTGACAGTTTCTACATGAACAGCAAAAAACACCTTGGAGAATTTCCAAAGTGTCAATGTCTCCTCTTGCCAAAATTCAGTTGCTGTCTCATGCATATAAGAAGATGTCACAGGTCACACAAGATATGTCCTTGATGAAGAAATACTCCAGACAGGCATCAATCTGTTCTCACTCTTGAAACAACACAAAACAGTCTTAATATTTTGTATTTGTCCTTCTTCCTTTTAATTCAAACAGCTGGGAATATAGATTTTCTTATACTTTGCTATGAAATCTAAGGAAACATCCTTTGGCTGTACTAAAGCTTCCCAAAAGACCTCCAGCAAAATAAACATATACCACAATTCCTGATATCTATTTACCTTTGCAACATATTATGAACATTTTTTCCGTTAAGAAGTGTGAGACCTCAGGAAATGCCCTTAAAATGTGAGGGAGAAGGTTGGCTAGCCCTGTGAAGGAAGGGGTGCTAGGTTTTATGAAGAAAAAACGCTGTCAAGTAAGGCTCCCAAGAGCAGAACTAGATGTCCAGCTTAACCAAGCACAATCTGTCTTGCTCATCTCTGCCCTATGGTATAAACGTGAATGAAATACAAATATAACAGCACAGAGGGAAGCAGGAGTCAGTTGTACAAGTCTCATTTTCAATGTATGGAGGCTCAAAAATCTGATATACAGGCTTTACCAAGGACATCAGGGAATATCAATGGCCTAAGAATCATGAAGATGCAGGCAATCAGCAAGACAGGCACCATATATGCCCTTCTGACTTCACACCCTCAATACACACACCAGTTTCCCAGGGCTGTGCCATCCCAGGAAGACTCCTGGGAGGATGGGTGAAACTTCTGCCTCTCTGTGAACCCCTTAGAAGGCACAGTTTGGCCTAAATTAGGGAAAGTGTTAGAAGCTTGCCTGAATCGGGAGCTAGATAGATCCCCTTGCCAGCCCACAAAYAGAGAGAAGCACAAGCGTACTGCAAAAGCCCTGTTCCTTCCATCTCCATCAAACCCAGCAAGAACTGAATTTCTAACCTCACCAATGCAGAGTGCTTGGAAAACCAAGTCTTAAAATCACTTTGCAAGCCAATTCTCTAATGCTGAGCCACAGATGGGTATAATACCTAAGGCAYACATACATATCACATATAGGATCTCTATACAAAATGGCCACCAGGGCAGCAGCACTCTACCTCCCAGCTAACTCGAGATGACTGAATGTTGGCCTAACACATAGTCACAGATGGTTTTACTGAGTGTGACAGCCAGACAGCCAGCATCAGCTGAGATAGTCTGGCAGGGAAAGCTGGATGTGGGGCAAGGTAGAAACGGGGCAAGTATTCTATGCCTTCTGAAAATAAGTCGCTGTTTTCTTTTCAAAGTCTTAGACACTCTGGGCCTAATTAAATTTGAAGAAGGAAATGAGGAATAAGCAGAATTCTTGGACAAAGAACTAACTTTTTCAGCCCTACTGGGACGAAAGGCACTGCATAAAAGGCAGTGTCAGGTGTTGAAAGCAAAACTGCCTCTACTTTAGAAGCAGTAAAAAAAAAAATAAAATTAAAACAAGGCAGAGGGTACAACTATTTAAGGAATGTACTTATGTTATGGAAAACATCCCAACCCAAGCATTTTTCTAATTCTGTTCATTGAGGCTCATTGCTTGGCATCATGTAAATTCCTCCAACCATGGAAATAAGAGGTTTCATCTGATAGTATAATTGTTCCATATCATCTTCTAGAGTTTGGAAGAGTTATACAAATATAGCTTACACAACACTTGTCACGTGAAGCACAGGTGGGAAGATAGGTTGCCTGCAAACCATAGTTTAGAGCCTGTAACAATTCATATTCCAAGGAAGAACAAAGAAGCTTCTAAAAAGCCCCCGATTAACTACCGCTTTCAAACCTTGGCAGAATCCATCCAGAATTCGCCATGGAGGAGGACACTGACTCTTCTTGGTCTTCCACAGAGCTGATCAATTCATCCTTCAAATAAAATAAGGAAAAAAAAAGAGAAAAAAATACTCATTTATATTTACATAATTCATGCCAGTTCCTCTATGCAAGCTGCTGCTTCAACAAATCATGAGCCAAAAAGTCATCTTTTTTAAGAAATACACTTACCACCATTCTATAGTGCATGTCTTTTCACTTGAAATTCAGCTAGAGACAAAAAGGCATTTCAGTGCAGCCTTAGCATGCCTTCTGGCAATGACTAATGCAAAGCAATTATGGACTTATTTAAGTGCCCTCCAAAATTTGCCTGGAATTAATTCTGCCTATCTATACATTCATTTCGTAGCCCATCACCATGACTAAGTGCCTTGCACAGCTATCGTACCTTTTTACTGGCAGCAACAACAGAAAGATGCCAGGCTTCACTTTTCTGTGAATGGTTCAAATGGTTTCCAGACAGTTTGTGCCATTTCAAACACAAATGAACAAATTCTCCTCTCTGTTACACTACTCCCAAGAGGAAAATTTGGACTGAAATGTCTGCAATTTAATAGTAGCAATGGCATGTGGAAAATGTTGGATTAAAAAAAGGCTGTGACAGCTCAAAGAACAGAAATTTGAAAAAAAATACCACCATTGTCATGCAAAAGCTAAAATAAAGAAATGCACTTCGTAACCCCTAAACACTTGGTAGTAATATAACAACCAAGACATGGTGACACTGGGATCTGAAATTGATACAATCCCTTGCAAGAGTTAGTTGGTCTTGTAGAAAGCAGGTCCGTGCATCTCAGTCCCACCTCAGAACAACTCCTCTTTGAAAGATCAAGCAATGAAAGAAGTACAAGGGAATTTAGAACACAAGAACTTGAGTCTGAATACTAGTTCACCACAATGACAAGGCATTAGGTATCACCAAAAACTTCACAAGATACCTAAAGCAAATCTGTGGAGACTGGTGTGACAATATAATATTAGCCTCAAACACAGCCTTAATATTTCCTTTCCCAGATACAAATGCCAAACGAATCAAACAGAGAGGTCATGAGTAAGTCAGATCATCCAACATATCATGTGCCTTGTTACTGAATACAAGTACAGATAACCTGACCTACTGTTTTCCAGGAAGAGATAAGAACTGCTGAAACAATGAAATATCTGTGGACAACAGCACAGTAAGACTTCCAAAATTTTTAAAACAGTGCTGAAAGAAAAAACAGAGCATAACTTCATGCAAAAGCATATATGCTTTTATCTATGTGATGACAGTTTTACAAGAGTATTGGAATATGTATTTCAAGAGGTTGATGGAAAAAATGTTGTGTAATGGTACACTCTAAAGCAAAGAAAAGCTTGCATCCTCACATTTTTTTCATTGTCTCATACTTCCTTCTTAAAGGGTCCTGCACGATCTGCTAAGAGTCATAACTTGAGGAGTTATGCTAAGGTAGGCTGGTATCAATATTGCTGCTACGCTAACTCGGTAAAAAGACCAGTCCAAAACATCATCCATTATGGATATGTATTTCCACCTATTGACCATACACTGATGACATAAAGGATTGTCTTCTGATATAAGTGCAACTGGGCTTCCTCCAAAAATCATACAACACATTAAGTCCATTATGCATTTGACAATTTTTCTTCTAGCTCTGTATTTACCAAGGTGCCCTATAGTTCAGTTCTTTATGTTAAGTTTTGAGCAACACTACACTGTTACAAATACAGTAAACAATGATCTCATACTAAATAGACTAAATATGCTGATATTATAGTACGGACAAACCATCATATTTCTGCTTGACATCTCTTAGAAAATAGGCTGAAAATATAAAATTTTCCTGTAACAAAGAATTATTTCCCTGATGTTTAAGCAAGAAATATTCTTACATCTTCATCTATATTACACTTATAATCAAGTGGATTAAGTGGAATTACGTGGAAACAAGACTGAAAGTCTAGGTATTCAAGTAGCACTGAAGAGAAAGGCAGCACAKAGAGAGCAGATACTTCAAAAATACGTAATTATTAGCTGTATATATAAAAGCACAAGGATTTTATGTCCTCTAGTGGCTCAYGTGAATAGAGTTTATGCTATCATTTTCAAAGTTTAAAATGTCCACAAAAAAAAAAGGGCAAAAAAAYCCCAAAAGCATGACTTTTAATGTCAGTGAAGAGATGTCAATAGGAGATTGTGGACCAAGGGGATTGATTATCCCTTCAAATCGGTCAACACCTAACTTAAGAAAGTCAGGTATAGCAACTTAAATAGCCTCACAATAATAAAAGAACAAATTTATAATCTTGGAAACACAAAACAAAAACACACACACACACACTGAAGTGGCTTATTCTCCTTAGGTCAGCTTTAAAGCAGAGCTCTGTCCAAAAACAGGGTTCAGAAAGAGACATGGGAAGACCCTTCTTCCATACASCTTATTTTACTTACTAGATTTTTGTTTTGTTTTGCTTGTGTGCAACTAAGAAATGTTTGCAAATGAGCCAAAATCAATGAGAAGAGCACGGGGCCAAGGCAGCTTATTTTTTGGAGGAAAGCACAAGTTGCAAGAGCAGAGGCCAGTCCCCTGGCTACTGATCCCTGCAGCCCCAACTGCTTAGTGAAACCCAACAGCTTACAGGAACAGTAATAACAGTTTGCATATTTCATTACAAAATTAATATTTTACCCACACCCACTTTATGGGAAATTTAAAAAAAAAAAATTAGCCACAGTTCAGCCAGAAACACACACTAAATAAATCTCACAACCACTCCCTCCAAAATAAATAAATAAACAAATCTAAATTTTGCCCAGCTCTAGCTTTTGCTTRACATATTCCAGTATCTCCCTCCCTTTCCCTGGTGGGAGATAAAAGAGGACAAATCTACAGATGGCTTTTCAGACAGAACATGACTTACCCGGGAATAAACTAGGAGGTCTGAACATGCTCTCCCACATGCTAGAAAWAGCCACTTCCAGAACATTCTCCCTCCCTCATTTAAGCCATTAAGGTTCAGGAAAGCAGAGCAGGTTAAGGACAGARCTGGCTGAGTGGATGCCTGCAACTACTGCATTTCCCCCAGAGCAGCTGACTCTTAAGAGCCACCCACAGCACAGGTGTAAAGCATAATCAAGTGCCCTGCAGTCGTTAACAGTCTCATCATATTTCACCTGCTTTAGCAGCTAGCTAAGGTRGACTCCCTTATTACTTGCACTTCAATTTTTGCTGGATCTTGGTTAAATTTTTGAAGGATAAGGCACATAAGTGAGTATTTCAAGCCCCCTCTTTCAAGCATCTTTCCTCTCCATCTCCCCATATGCTAGAGATTTAGGAAAATTCTGCTTTAAGTATCTGTAGATATTCCTCCCCCATCTCCCCTACCCCCATATCAGCTTAGAAGCTTCATTGTGTAGAMCAGGTGTTTTAGTGCTGCTTTACACACCCATCTGTTCCAAACTGCTTGAAGATGAAAATAATTAAAATGTAGGGAACCTGTGAGGAAAGTAAATTGGTTTTGCATTTGGTACAACAGGTACAGGTGAAAACCTTACAGACTTCAGGCTTTAAGACAGAAATRGTTTATAATGCTTTAAATGAACCATCTTTATTAGTAGAGTGTGGCTAACATAAGCAGTGTTTAATAGCAAAGCAGTCTTCAATAATTCTTTTAGAAATTGGTACTGCCTAAGGCTTGGCATACAATTGAATAAAAGTAATAAAACTTTATTTACAAAAATGCTCTAAAGTCTGAAGCATCTAAACATTGTACAGAAATAGACTACAAAAAAGGCTTCAAAACCACATAAAACACAGCACAAAGAACCTAAACAAAAATACAAATCAATCCCCATTCTCATAAGAGCACARTATTAAACAAAAGGTCTTCAGATCTCCCATTATCTTGACCATTTCTAACAAACACAAAATGTGTTATTTCAAAGAACACAATGTAAAAACCAGATTTTTACAGGGCAATTTTCGAGGAGACGGTCTAAAATTATCACGTTATTTCCTGTTTTTCCAACACCACCATTACTGCACTGCTCAGAGGAAGCTTCATAGGTGACTTTCCCAAAGTGTCTCACTTGCGGACCCAAATCCCATGGCATAGTCCATATTTACTAGCATATAAGGAGCATTCAATCTTCAGTAAGTTCAGGCTATCTCCAAATTCCTCGTTCTCAGAAAATAACTTTTTCTAAACAATTCTTTCAAAATATTTCTCTCAAGCAACTGTCTCAGGATCCAGATAGGAACAGATAATAATAACTAAAGACTTGTCTAAAGAGAACAAAGATCAACAGCAAGCCCATATGTAACAGTGCCATCTGTTGACCAATACTGAAAATGTGACCTTCCTTATTCCCTAGCAAATAAAATAAAATAAAATAAAATAAAATAAAATAAAATAAAATAAATAAAAGCTTTCTATGCCACTTTTGGTTTTCCCAGTCCCAGTTCCCTAAGCAGTTTTATCGCTCAGGAGTTGCAAACCATCCAGAAGATATCAAACACCAGAGAATTATAATAAAAAAAAAAAAAAAAAAAAAAAAAAAAAAAAAAGCTACATGAAAGGTTTTTCTTACCAGCTAGATATTTTCAGGAGACAAAAAGACACATTCAGATACCTGAAAGCTCGAACTTTGCTTACAGGATGATATGAAGAAAGCAGCAGCAGATCTTTCCAGTTGTATTTGCCTTCTTTTTGTCAAGAGATATTACAGAAAGCATTATAAAGTACACTTYAAAGTGCCTCTTAGAAGAAAAACTACCCCTTTCTGCAGCATGCTCTTGATTTTGTGGTGGTGAATTTCATACCATATCATTACTAGTCAGAACAAGATTTTGTTATCAAGATTCCTGTGCAGTTACCTTAGCGTATAAAATTCAAGATGTTTCATGTTTTCGTACATCATCACAGACAACAGTCAGATAATAGAGACCATGTTCCAACTTCCCAGTTTTGCATGTGAAACATAAATAAGAAATACTAAATGGAAAGAAAACAACTGCAGATTTTACAAGCTTAGAGGTACCTGCAGGGTAACAGGGGAAATGTACAGTGTTTTAACTACAAAATCTATTAAATTGTACATAGAGGAGAAAGTAGAAACAGGAAAAAAGACATTAAAGATAAGCAAGATGAGTTAATTATTGGCCTTGCTCCCCAAAGGGAGCTTCCTTCAATTACCCGTAGGATGTGTGAATTTTCATTCCTTTTACAGCTTTCTCACTAATCTTTGCTTTGTATAAYGGTAAGCATGTTACTTGTATTAAAGAGTTAAGGATATGCATTAGAGATTAAATACAGCCCAGCTGACTGTATCTAGTTATGCCAGGGCTAATTTTCAGCAATGGTTTCACAGACTTTATTCTTTAAAACAAAAACAAGTTCATCCTTTGGTGTATCAAAAAGCTCATTTCCAAAAGTAACCAATTCAAGCAATTAGTCGGTGTTTTCCACCAAAAGTACAGACATGTTCATGATATCTACACTCTCTACAGCTCAGGCCCAGTTCAAAAAAAGCACCCACTAAAGCCAACCAAAACTGAATTTGAGTAAAAACACAACTGCATAGTCTTTAAATATCTAAATCTTGAATGTAAGCAAAATTTCAATGCATAGATTGTATGCTATAAAGTTTATCACTGAAAGCATTTTTGAAGAACATCTGAGAAGTTCATTTAATTTAAGGATAGTTTCACAGAAAAGTGTAACACACCAGACAGAACTGCTTAGCTAAACATAACAGACAAAAGGCATAAAGCAATGGATAACTTTACATCACCTACGGGTCTGAGAAATTAAATTCATCATTGCATTTAGAAGGACGATCTTGAGACGATCTGAACTTGGGATTTGGTTAAACCCGTTAAAGCAAGTGAAGCCAAGTGAAAACACTGGATCCAAAAACAATTCAAATTCAGAACTTTCCTAACATCATGAGATTTGGAGCTGTATTTTAACCACACACATTGTTTAACAACCTACAATAAAAACATTATTTTACCTTARGAGAATCTATTCTTCATGATAAAATCACAAGTGTTTTTGTTTCATTGTTTAAGTAATAGCAGCAGCAGCAGCATATTCTTTGGCTGTGCTCTTTCCTCTCCTAAGGTTTGGCCTCCACCAGCTTCCACAAATCTCCAACCATCACTACCACAAACACCACCAGGTTGTTCCCTAGTAA